GAGAGAGAGAGAGAGAGAGAGAGAGAGAGAGAGAGAGAGAGAGAGAGAGAGAGAGAGAGAGAGAGAGAGAGAGAGAGAGAGAGAAAACACATGGTGTGGCGGACCCACCAGGTGTGGTGCTCCGCCAGGGATAGAGATGGAGATGGGGGAAGAAGGGGGAGCGAGATGGCACAGTGTGGCTCCCACGCTAGACTCCAACGCACGTACTCCAAAGTGTGCGGATGTAGAATGAATCGGAAAACAAACAACAACTGAGGTATACCCCAGCGGACTGACGGGACTGGACTGGACTACCCCAAATACAACACAAGCCTGTGAGAACAGGCTAAGGGGCTGGTCTCACAGGCCAACCAGAGGTCCGCTACATGATTCTCGGCCTGTGATGGATCGCGTAGATACAAGCACACTTCCGCCAAGAAGCGGAACTCTAGCAAAGAAAAGAAAACCTGAGTAGTCTAGGATGCGTAGCAAGCTCCACGCTGAGTCCATGCGATGCAAGCTAGGATAGAAAATGTCACAAAAACAGCAATGTCACAACGAACAGCCTAGGTAAAAGCATAAGCAACTAACTAGCATAAATGTCCTAGGAAAGCAGAAAGTAATGACAACTAAACCCTAGAATGTTAGAGGCGGTAGCCTCGGTCTGGAAATAGTTGATTAGTGAATAAGTCCTAAGAACATCAAAAGTAGAAACAACTAAATCCTAGAATGTCAAAGGCAGTAGCCTCAGTCCGAGAGCAACAAATCAACAACAAGACAACCATATGTCACAGGAGAAGTGTGTCGCGAACCAAAGGGTGGGATGGTCTCTGAGGGTGGCGAATGTAGCCTAGGGGTCGATAACTCCTAAGGGCATCCACACAAAATGACAGGGAGACACATGTCATCAGGCTCAATGAGGGTAGGGAATTGGGAGCGAACAGAACCAATGACCCTAACAGATAGACCATCAGGGCGGGTAATGCTCGACTAAAGGGGTGACCGCTATGGAGGGTCGACCATGCAAGGGAACAAGGGAGCCTGATATACTGGGCGCACCTAGATGAAGCATGCGAGGCTGCCTAACTAGGGCGTGAGGGCCGACAAAGGGTAGAAAAATGATGTGTAAGAGAATCATGTAAATGACTCCTAAGGTGGGGAAGTCGGCGCTGGATCCGTAAGTTGGGAAGACAAGGCAACGCTACGGTCCCGATGCCTATGTGTATACCAAGGGAGAGCCCAACTTAGAGGAACCCGACGAAGAGAGACCATCATGTGACACAACCAGGGTACTGTACAGGGTAAAGTGGTAAGAGAGTGATGACGTCTGAAGTAGGCACGACTGATCGTGACAAAGTCCATGAAGCTGCCGATGGCGTCCACCATGAGAAGTCCGGAATGTCGTCGAGGAAGAGCCACAACGTCGACGAGCTGAAGTAGCAAAACTGGTGTGGATGGAGTACTGAGAAGTCACAAACATGGGAAGGGAAGTCAGAGTCAATCGTCGTATCAAGCAGGACGACGACGAGTGTGCTGTGGACGCTCAGAAGTATCCGACTGCTGTTGAAGGTCTGCCTCAAATGGAGCAGGCTGGACTTCAGTCGTCTCCTTAGACGAGGGAGAAGGAGGAGGGTCAGTGGGCTGAGGAGGAGCAGTCAACCCAGCACGACGAGCACGGTCATAGGCACGCACCAACACGCGAGTGTGCTGCAAGTGCTCGAGGGATCTCCCGAGTAGCCTCCTCATCAGGGTAACCCTTCCAACGTACGAGATACTCGACATGGGGAGGGTTCTCGTCGGTGACTTGGCGACCAATGATGTCTGAAACGAGGAACTCCTTGTGGCTGTCCACCATGATGGGTGGAGGGCGCTCGTATGGTCGTCCAGCGAAACGCTCAGACGGTCTATGGTAGGGGCGCGGTAACGAGACGTGGTAGACATCGTGCACACGAGCCTGGCGTAGGTAGTCGGGCAGCTTCACACAGAAGTTGACCGGGCTAGATGCCGTATCAGAACCGATGGCCTGGAGATGGGCCATGGGCCAAAGAAGCGACGCCGAAACTTGTGAAGCGTGTCCGCTTCGAACTGTAAGTGGTGGGTGTCGATAAGCACATCATCACCGACTTTGAATGAATGATCTATCCTCGGTCGGTTCGCACGTGCGGCCATGCGAGTCTGGGAAGCGGCTATGTGTTCATGTGCTGTCTTCATGATCGACGTCATGTGTGCAACCCAGTCATCCAGCGTGGCACAACTCGTGTTGGGGTGCATCTGTGACGGTCGAAGGAAGTCCGCGAGAACACGAGGGTGATAACCGAGGTCGCAATAGTAAGGCGATATCCCCGTGGTTGGCGAGACAGCGTGGTTGTAGGCTATCTCTGCATGGGCAAGATGGAGATCCCACGGCTGGTCGTCACGAACAATCTTTCGGAGAATATCTCCAAGAGTCCTGTTCGTGACCTCAGTCTGACCATCAGTCTGGGGATGGTAAGATGAGGAGAAGCGGAGCTGGGTGCCGTATACCTCGTGGAGCCGTCGCCAGAACAGGCTGGTAAAGCGCGGGTCACAGTTAGATATGATGCTCAGAGGTAAGTCGTGGTCACGCACGACTCGGTCAAACACGATGTCGGCGACCTCACGTGCACTGATGGCATAGCGGCACGAAACAAAGCATGCACGCTTCGTAAAACGATCGACGACGATCAGGATAGCATCATGACCGCGGGGGGTCGGAGGACGAAGAGGACCGATAAAGTTCATCGAGATGGACTGCCAACGACCCTCAGGGATAGGAAGAGCCTGGAGCAAACCATAAGGCAAGTGGTTCGCACTGTTCACCTCCTGACAGGTGGGACACTCTACGACGTAGTCCTTCACAAAGTCCTTGCGCTTCGGCCAGACGTACAGGCGGCTCATACAAGCCAACGTCTTGTGGAAGCCCATATGACCGGCGACTGCCTGGTCATGGAACTCTGCTACTGCCCCGACACGTAGCTGTCCAGTGGAGGGAATGAAAATACGGGGCCCTCTGGTGCCCTGTGAACCGTGCCAGTACACAAGACCGTTGTCCCCGAGAGAGTAGTTCGGGACGGTCTTGCTACTCCGAAGGGTCGCATGGATGTCGCGATAGTCGGGGCAGTGACGGTACTGAGTGTGAAACTCGTCGATCACCAAGTGGTGAACGGTGGTGACTGAGATGGAAGCGAGTTGGATCTGCGCCTGATCGTGGTCAGGACGCCGGGATAAGGTATCTATGACCCGATTAGTCTCACCCTTGATGTGCTCAATGGTGAAACTAAACTCGGATGGTCGCGCCACCAGCGAGCCTGTCGAGGAGTGAGCTTCGATTTTGTCAAAAAAACCTGGACAACAGAGTTGTCCGTGCGCACCGTGAATGGTGCCCCGTGCAGGTAGTGACGCCATTGCCGAGCGGCATAAACTACTACGAGAACCTCACGTTCATCAGCAGTGTAGTTTATCTCGGCGGACAGGAGCTGACGGGAGTAGAAGGTTATCGGACAATCACCTGAGCGAGACTCGACAGTGCCGTCCTCGGCAATGGTAGGGGAGTAGTCTATAGAAGGCTCGTCAGTAGCGGAACGAGTAGGCGTCAGGCGGGAGGCAGTGGTAGGGGTAGGGGGTGGGAAGCGAGGGATACGAGGATGAGAGGAATCAGGAGAGGAAGGGAAAATATGAGAAAGCACTACTCCTACAGCAAAGTCTGACGCATCAGTGGTAAGGATAAGAGGGCGATCAAAATCGGGTAGGTGAAGAACCGGTGCACATGTCACCGCCTTCTTGAGGGCGTGGAAGGCGTCCTCGTGGAGGGGTGTCCAAGCCCATGGCAGGTTCTTCCGGAGGAGGGTGGAGGTAAGAACGTAGGAATGCCTAGCGTATCCCTGGATGAAATTACTATAGTAGCTGGTAAGGCCTAGAAAGCTGCGAAGCTGCTTGGCGGATGTGGGGACGGGCCACTCCGCAATAGCAGTGATTTTTGCGTCGTCCATGTGGAGACCCTGGTAAGACACGTAGTGTCCTAAGAAATCCACTTTGTGTTGGGCAAAGCAGCACTTGCTCAGCTTGGCATAGAAGCCATGTCTGCACAAGCCGTAAAGGACGTCGCGGAGGTGTCTGAGGTGTTCCTCAACGGTACGATTGTAGACCAGGATATCGTCGAGGTAGACGAGAACGTACTGCTCTAGGATGTCCCCGAAGATGTTGTTCATCGCCCTCTGGAAGGTAGTGGGTGCGTTGGTGAGGTCGAATGGCATCAAACTGATATTTCGTTAAAACTGACATTTTTTTCTAAATTCACGAAAGTGGACTTAGTCAAAATTTCATTGCTCATCGGGTGAGAAACTGGTTATCTCACTTTGTCCATCTGATGTACCTCAACGTAAAGTGCCGTTAACATACATCCGATAGTCAGATCATCAGGAGTCGCCACGACACCCGATAATGTGATCATCCGACGTCATGAGGACAAAAAAAACACTAAAAAATGTTGTTTTTTGGTACGCTCAATTTCGTGAATTTAGAAAAAAATGTCAGTTTTAACGAAATGTCAGTTATCACCGTAAACTCATAGTGGCCGAAGCACGATCGGAGCACTGTCTTCGGCTGATCCGCTGCAGCGACGCGGATCTGATGGTAACCGCTACGAAGATCAATCTTCGTAAAAAAGCGGTTGCTTGCTAGGTGGTCGAACAACTCGTCGAAACGAGGCATGGGTTAGTTGTTCTTAACCGTGTAGCGGTTGAGGCCACGATAGTCGATGCAGAGACGGAGAGTTTCATCCGTTTTGCGAGCAAAGAAGACGGGTGCACCCCATAGGGAGTTGCTGGGTTTAATGAAACCCAGTCTAAGGAGCTCCTCAAGCCGACGCTTGAGTTCGGTGGCATCGGGGATCGAGAGTCTGTAGGGTGCCTGGTGCTGAGCACGATAGTCAAGCACGAATTGGATGGAGTGCTCGACGTCGCGCATCGGTGGGATGCCGGCGTACGAAAACGACGATGGGAAAACATCATGGTACTCTCGAATGAGGTCACGAAGTGCGGGCTCCAGATCGGACGTATAGCGTGCGAGTTCCTCAGCTTCAGCGTCAGTGCGCGACGGCGAGGTGGACTCGAGGGACGGCGGAGGGACGGAAGTAGAGATGGGAGCCATGGAGATAGAAGGAGGATTTAGCTCCAGAGGGATGAGCTCGGCGTCGGGACAGGGTGGATCATAGTGTAAGACATCCGTCACGTTCACCATACAGAAGGTGACGTCATCTTGTTGGATGAAGTAGGCGAACTGTTGAGGCGAGGTGACAGTGATAGAAGGAGATGGTGTGGGTACGGAAGGCTCCGGGGGAGGAGGATCGGGGCGTGGTGTCGCAGTGGTACCTATGAAAGGTACGCCATACATTTGTCCACACTTTGTTTTGAGAACGAGAGTGTTGGTCGCCCAATCGGCCTCGGTACTGCGGAACCGACGAGACCACGGAGTGCCGAGAATGAAATCATACCCCGTCTCCATCATATCGAAATGTGCAGAGGAGCGGTGGCGACGAGACTCTGGGGGACGATCGGTCGGCTCGAGGGTGAGGAAGAAGGGGAGGCCGGTGACCGTCTGATCGGAGAAGCGTTGGGTCTTGTCATCCCCTAGGGTGACGGAGATGGGAGCCGGAGACCCTGTCGTGGGTAAGCGGGCTTCTTTCACCACACGTGGGTGAATGAAGTCGCCCTGAGAATCGGAATCCCACAACACTGAGTACGCCCTTGTGGAGGTCCCCAGTCGTACTGGAATGATCGGGAGGGTGCGATCAGGGTCAGAGAGGATGGTGAGGAGGGGACGCAGTGCAGCGACATGGAGGGTGAGTCACTCCTGACGAGCATGGAGCAAGCTCAAGTCCAGAATAGAGGACACAACGTCCTCACGAGTTGCAAGCTGCTTGCTGCAACGGGTTGAGCGAATGGTTCGACACGTCGGTAGTCGCGGCGGGGTAGGAGGGGAGGCGGTGGTCTGCGGAGGCGCAGACCGTACTGCGACAGAGGGTTAAGTACACTCTGTTGGGTCCTGCGATACCTCATCTCCAATAGCGAGAGGGGCAAACCGCGACGGGGATGTCGGGAAGCCGACTACTGAGAAGGGCGCAGGTGTACACTGCACCATGGCTAGGAGGTGCCACGGGGATGCGAGGCGGCGGGGGGGGACTAAGCATGACACTGGCGGGAAAGGTCAGCGTAGTGGCGGTCGAGGGCGGCGGTGTAAGGGCACCTCGAGGAGGTATGACCGTCCTGGCGGCAGCGCAAACACCCACGCCGATCCAGAATGGCCGCGGGCTCCTCAGCGGAAAGGACACCGCGAGGAGGGACAAAACCCTGATCGAGGTCCTGCTGAAGGACCTCGGGGGGCGACGCATCAGCGTGACTAGAGCGTCTGCGTGCCCGGGAGAGGGTGGAGAGGATGAGCTGGAGACGCTCGGCCATAGGGAGAGTAGAGTCCTCCAGGCTCCAGGTGGTAGTGGATGGCCTCGTCGAGGTCGAGGTCGTTGCCATGGTCACCCTCTAGCGACAGCGGGGCAACAACGTCCTGCTCACCATACTCGAGCGCGCTGAAGCAGCATGAGAAGTGGAGGCTCTGCTGCGCGGAACGGCGGGGGCGACCGTTGAAAAGGGAATGGCGCTGGGAGGTGTCATGAGAGGAGGAGGGGGTGTAGCCAGTACACTGAGGCTGGGAGGAGGAGCCGGAGTGAAGACGGGCCCGCATCCGTTGATGGGTCCTAGCGGCCTCGTAAGCCTGCGGGGCCGATGTGAACTCGTACCGCCATAACTCGGAGCGGTACTCAAGGGGAAGGCTGGCCAAGAAACGGTCGATGAGGGCTGCCTCGGGGAGGAACACCACATCACAAATGAGGCGGGCATCCTGAAAGACCTGGATGTGGCGGTCCAGGTCGGCAGCGCCACCAGAGTCGGACTAGCGTGTGCTGATGACTCGCTCGAAGGTGTTAGTGACGTCATGTCGGGCTCCGAAGCGATCCTCGAGGAATGCCTGAAAATCCATGAAGGTCGGGGTCCGACCCTCACGAAGGGAGTGCGCGTAGAAATCCTCCCAGGCCTCGAAAGGACCGCCACGCAAGCACGTGGAGAGGTGACCCACCCACGTGTCGGGTGGGGCGCCCATGAGCTGGAGCGTGCGGGTGACAGACTGCAGTCACCGAGACACGTGTATCCCTGTACCGTCGTACAAGGCAATGTCCGCCGAGCGGACGAGTGGTGCACCACCATTTGGGGGCGGGGGGATCGAGGAGCAGAGGCCTATGCCACGACTGAGTAAATCGGCGCAGGTCCTGGAGAAAGAGGCGCAACTGACTGTACGCCCGGGCCGCATGGGGGAGCAGTGGGGGCAACAGCGGCAGGCTGCGAGGGAGTTGCGGTAGAAGAGGTCGCAGCAACCGAGGGAATAGGAAGAAGGTAGGATGGGGCTGGATAGGGTGCAGGGCGAGGAAAACGAGCCTGCATGGAAGGAAGAGTAGAGGAAGGAGAGGGTGCGGCCGAAGGCGCGGCCACCTGTGAGGGTGGGGGTGGCTGAAGGCGTAAGAGGGCGAGGTCGGCCCGGGTCTGGGCAAGCTCGTCCTCGAGACGTTGAACGTAAATCGAGCGAGGAGTGGCAGGAGGAAGAGTGGGGGAAGTGGACGTACGTGCGGCGCAGGGCATCCCGCAGGGGGGAGAGCCAGGTGGCGCTGCGGTCGTGCGAAGGGGGGGGAGAAGCGGGGCACCCGGAAAAGATGAGACCACGGCAGCGGGTTGTGGTCCTGTGACTGTAGTGACTGGAATCTGGGCGGGTGCGCCCGTAGGGTGAGGGAGGACCTGGCCCGTGGTGGCCGTCGCGCTATGAGCGTGGACGGTCACCAAGATGGTCGGGTCGGGGGCGGCAGAGGAGGAAGCTCCGTCGTGGCCACCATGTTGGAGGACGGGGGACTCGGACTGGGAGCCAGGAGAAGAGAGATAGTGGGGAGAGGAAGGACGACCAGCGTCCTAGAGTTGTCGGAGGCCAGCGGCAAGAGTCACCATCTGCGTCTGTAAGGGCGCAAGGAGGGAGGTGATGAGGGTGTGCAGATCTCCCTGGGGCTGATGGCCCTGATCCGTCGGCACGGGTGTGGAGCCCGATGCCGAGGTCGTCCCCGCCTCGACGGCTTGTGACACGCCGTCGGCCATGGGGAGGTAACGGGCCGGACTAGAAAGGGTCGGAGGAGGTCCGCGTGAGCGGAGGGCGTAGGGGGAAGTTTGCGATAAAAGGCGACGAGCGGCGCTAGTAAATCGAGCGCGGGCGCCGTCAAAGGGGGAAGGGTGGTTCGGATCCAGGGTGGCCGAATGAGAAGGGAAAGTAAGGGGGGTTAGGAAAACCTTAAACCCTAGAAAAACCATAAAAAAACCCTAACCGGAGTTTAAGTGGTTAAGGTAGGGTACCGGTGACCTAATCAAGAAAATAAAATAGCAAGCATAGGGGGGGAATGCGGGAGAAAAAATAATAAACAGCGAAATTTCGAGAGAAAAATAAAAATAAATAAGAAAATAAATAAATAATAAAAATAATTAAAGAAATAAGGAAACAAAATATGAAAAAAGAAATAATATTTATTAGCTAAGCGCCCGCGATGCGGGCGGTGTGAGCAATGCCCGTAAAAAAAAAAAAAAAAAAAAAAAAAAAAAAAAAAAAAAAAAAAATTGTAGGCCCAAACCAACTGCCAAAAAAAAAAACTTAGGCCCACACCATGCTTCACCACACTCAAAACGCGCATTGCGGCAGCTAAGAAGTGCGCATGAATTTTATTTTTTTGCTAGCGAATAGTCAAGAGTATTATTCTTTTTTCGTTTTTTTAACAGGCTAGGCGGCGGGCTTCCTGTTACACTTGGATCCATATCTTGCTTCGCCACACACCAAACCCTCACCGGACCGCTAAGAAGTGCATGTGAATGTTTTTTTTTTCCCAATATATATACTGAGGAATATATTTTTTTTTTTTTTTCAAGTTGCGGGGGGGGGGGCTCCGCCCCCCTCTCGCCGCACCCGCCCCCCCAATTTTGGACGTGGATCCACACCATGCTTCACCACACTCAAAACGCGCACTGAAGCAGGAAAGAAGTGCGCATGAATTTTATTTTTTTAATAGTCAAGAGCATTATTCTTTTTTTCTTTTTTTCACAGGCTAGGCGGCGAGCTTTCCGTTGCACTATCTTGCTTCACCACACACCAAACCCACACCGGCCCGCTAAGAAGTGCATGTGAATGTTTTTTTTTTTCCCAATATATATACTGAGGAATAT